AGCTTTGTGGATTTTCACTTCTGACCTTTGTTAAAAATTGGACTAAACCCAGAGAATGTCTTTGGATATGAGGGTGGATTAAACTATCTGTACAATGTTAGATGACAACATTGTTGACAATGTATGAGGTGGCAAAAAATTGTTTGGTTGAAAAAACAAGTTGTTCAAACTGTTCAATGACAATATGCCACGTGGTATATTGTCAACAAAGTTATCATCCAATATTGTACATTAAGCATGATTCATATGAGGGTGCCTTTTGGGATGGATTTTGCTACTTGTATATCAAAATTATACATAAACAGTTATCGAAAATGATATGGAGGGAAAATATTGGATGAAAAGTAATTGCGTTTTAAATTGACAAATGATAAAATCTCAAGTGACATTAGGTAATCCCTCATATAAATCTTGATACACGTAACAGGATCTCTTTTGGGATATTGAGCTGCATTGAATCATCCTCAAGGTCAAAGGCATAGTTTAAAAAAAAAAATCAAATCTCAATTGCGTAATTCATTGGAAGATCCAATTCGACTGAATCATTTACAACTACAGTATGTAATGTTAGTTATGTTTATCTTTGTGTACCCCTCTCTCGCGTATATTTCCACCAAAAAGGGCAACAATGTATGCCAAGATTTGGCAACTACCAAAAATTGTCCTAAAATGCAAATAACAATGTGGATGCTAAGATCATATTGAAACAAGTAATGCTATTTATAGTGAGGAGTGAGGAGTGAGGACTATCGATAGTCGTGCATACATGTGGCTATTCGTTATTTAATGCACGAGACCATAAAAATTACTATATAAATATATCAAATAATAAATTGTCACATGTATGCCTCCACGTAGGATGACTACCGGTAATCTTCACTACGAATAGCATTATTCCTTTGCAATAGATAAGTCGTAAGAATATACGATAAGTGGATGTGGTGTTGACAATTATTGAGAATAAACCCCTATTTGACAATCATTATTTCAGAACTCTTTAATTCTTATACTCATTTTTAAACACACATTTACACATCAAAATTTTTTGCACGTAAATTCAAAAAAAAAATCCACTTTAACTACACATTAGCCAAAAAAAAATCACTATTCGAAACTCCATTTTTCTCAAAATAATGGTGGGCTAAATTGGGAAAATAGGTATATAGTTAGGATATGATTTACATAGAATTAACAACCTCAAAGAGTAATGACGTATAAGAAAATAGGGCTGGGTAAAACGTCTGAACCGAAGCGAACGGTTTTTCTTAAATGAAATACCTGAACGGGTATCTGAATCGAGAATCGAATGGTTTGATTCGATTCTCAGTTTTAGACCAAGAACCGAAGAATTAAATAAGAACATAATTTTTTTTAATATTGGATAAATCAATTTCTTTTATTTTTCTAAACAAATTAACATTTTTTCCTTATTAAATCTTATTAGTTGAACAATTTATTATTTATTTATATTTGTTAATTGTGTTTTTTTCATTTTT